CTTCAGTAGTCATCCCTGTTAAAACTCAAAGTATGGGGGGGGAGGGCAAAACATTGGTAAGTGCTGAACAGTAATGGGAACAGGTTGCTGTCTTGGACTGCTTGCCTACAGTGGCTTTTACCAAACAATATTGCAAAGTCAGATAGCACGGGGCTGTGATGATGCAAAGAATGCACAAATTTGATTCATAAGATTAAAATCCAAATGCTAGAAGTCAGTGAATCCCCAAAAGGGTTCCAGTAAACAGCCAAGTAAGAATAGCAGAGCAGGGTATAAAGCTTATTATCTATTCATATGATGTTAGTAAGGTCATGTTCTGTTCTGGCATCTACTCTTCAAAAAGACAATTCAGAAAATTGGAAATAGTTTAAAAAGCTGACAACAAAAACTAGATGGAAGAATTAAAAAAACCTAAAAAGTTCAATCCATTCATATAAAGTAGATTGGAAGATATTTTGATCATGGTATGCCAAATTCCTGGATCAGGACATTTGCAGGAGCAGATCATCCTCCAAGAGAGATATATTGAAATCCAATGCTTGGGAGCCAAAGCAAGATGAACTCAAACACAGGGTTCGGTTTTGGCATTGTTTTTTGAGAGGATAGTAGTTGCTCGAGTAACTTACCTAGAGGTAACTGGTTCTTTTTCTGAAGTTCTTAAAGCAAGACTTTTTTTTTTTCTACAATACATGCTTAACTTCTTGACATTATGCTTCTGATGGTGAAATCAGTCTGTGAAGTTCTCTTAACTGTGATATCCAGAAAAGTGATCCGCTGTGAATTCCCTCTACCTTTACCAAGACATGGAAATGTGAGCTCTGATGGCCCTTACCACTGAAACCTTTGTTTCAATTGCCAATTTGCCTTCTACTTCTGGGAGCCTTTAGTCCAATACTGGTAGCACCCACTGTTTTTTAAGCAGTAGCAGGTGCAACTCTCTCTCCCAGCAGAACCACCTGGCTCTACGGGCAAACCTTTGCTCACTAATTTGAACAAGTTGGCACAAACTAAAAACCCAGGAAGGCAGGAAGAACTGGGAGACCCACACTGCAGCTCAATTCCCCATCAGAGGAGAAAGAAAGGAATTCTGTGTCCAGAAGCACACACAAAGAGGGACTGGGATGAGTAAATCACCTGGATTTGAGGAATTCAGCACAGCTGTTTGCTGGAAGCAATCACCCTTCAGATCTAGAGGTATAAGCTTGAGAGACAGAGGGAGAGAATATGGCTTCTAATTCTTTCATATGACCAACTGCTATACTAGCGGAGACTCAAAGTCTTGAGACAGTTGCTAATGAAATATTAATGGCAGATGTAAAGCCAGAAGGGAAAAAAGGCCCCTGGTGGAAAGCGGCCAGCCCCAGTTGCGGAGCTAGTGCAAATGACAGCAGCTTCCCAAAAGCCGTTGTGGTGACCTGGCGTTTTAAAGCACTCAGATGCTGCTGGTAGAATGAATCTTGGCAGTGGATTTGTCATGGAGAAGATTCAAGCGGAAGAAATGATTCTTGCAAGTGGTAGAACCCTACAGATTTAAGGCAGGAGACATTCAAAATCTTATGTAAAGCACACTGAAAATTTGAACAGGTAACATACTTCAGAAGACTTGATTAGAAAAAGAAAAATATCTTAGGAATATACCCCAAAAATACATGCACAGATGATTACTTTTGCTTCAGCCATCAGTCATTTGATACTAAGTCTCACTAAGACTGTTTTATGAGAAAACTTTGCAATATATTTTGCAGGCTCACAATTCTCCATTTAGCACCAAAAAATCCAGAGACTCTGGAATAATGCATTTAATTCAGCTACAAGGAACGGGAAAATTACACTGTATTTTTTTATATATTGTATATTTATATTTTTAAATAAGAAGCCTGCTGTTGTAGTCCCCATGTAGGTAGAATTCTTTTAGAATTAATAAAAAAAAAAAAAAAAAGGTGTCTCAGTCAGGACACCAGGACAAAACTGAAGAAGTGTTCAAATATTTTATTATATTATATCTTCCAAATTGAACTAGCAACTGATAAAACAACTCTCAGACTAATTTTTCTAGTATAAGGAACCTTTTTAAAACCTCAAAGTTGAGTGCAAGCTCAGAGCACTTATTTTACAAGTAGACTTAGAACATCTTACACATTTGAGAAAAGCTGCTATTACAGTAATTCCAAGGCTTAGCTAATCAAGCCTCACAACTAAAAAGACCCTAAATATGAACGTAAAAGAGCACACACATTTACTATAAACAAACGCAACAAAAACCAGAGAGGTTTGTGCATAGAGTGCTTGCAAAATAACTCTGCTTGCTGCTTTAGTATCAAAGCACTGAGGAACAGCAGCTTCCCAGTCACCCAATCCTTCTCCAGGGATTCTCACAACGAAAGAGTGAACCGGGCATTTTAGCTCATTCTTGATCATTTTGAACATGCAAACATCAAGAACTCCTGGGAAAGGCACTGTATTAGGGAACCAACCACAGGTGTACTTGTAAGCACAAACCCCATGCAATGTGTACTATGCACCTGTGTATACACCAGAAATATGCACACATGCACAGAATTAAATTAGAAATCTTTCTCCTTTAATGCAGCCATGTTGGGTCTCAAATTTCTCTGATGCTCTCAAAAAGCTCTCTGATGCTCTAAAGATTTCTGAAAACACAACATTTGTCTTTCATACAAGAACGAACTTAATGTCACAGGCAGCTTTGCTCAGTATGGGGCACCTACAGGCAGCATGGGCCCGCCCCGAGGTTGGTCCCAGGGAACTCAGCACCTTCCCCGCTGCCAGCCAGGAGGGCCCACTGCTCCACCAGGCTCCACTCCACCTCCTCACACCATGTCTACATGCTACTGACAGGGAGGAGGTGCAGAACCATCTGGAAAAGAAACAGTAGCTGAAAGAGGGACAAACAGGGAGTTCGAGACGCTAAAGCAGAGAGGAGGCAGCACCAGGCTCCCTTCCCCTACAAGGGCTTTCCACCGTTGCCCCGCTATCTGCGGCCACTGCTCCTCCAGTCTCACAACCCCTGCCACTGGCACAATCCCCCCTTCAGCTTCCCACCACCCCCCCGCCATGGCAATAATGCTCCCAAGCCTTTCATTCCTCTCTCCTCTCCCCCTTCTTTCTGAGAACCACAGCCAGGAGAGAGATCAGCTAGACAACAACTTAAACCAGTGCAAATGTGAAAAACAAGGTAAAAAAAAGTCTTCTGCTATTACTGGACATGCTGCAGACATTGTGCCTAGTAACTGTGGCAGTATCTAGAGCAAAAGAAACTTAGCATGAATTGGTTTTTTTAAATGACATTCAACTCAAACATGCATAGGGAGAGTAAAGTTATTTTATTAAATCATGCACATCACGTGTGTTAGTGCAAATAGTTTAATCTGTACTCCAGAAATACTATTGTACTTTTATATCTTTACAAAATAGATTTAAAACAATTATTTACTTTAAAAAATGTAATTCTGAAGTTAAGCATTTCAGAACAATATTTGCAATAACCTATATACAAGAGGTACTAAGTACCACTGGCATACGAGTGTTCTGTGGTTGGGTGGCTTCCTGCAACTGAAAAGGATGAAATGAATGAACTAAATGACAATATTTTCTACGAGTCACTTGTGGACTATTTTTTCCAACTAATAATCCTCCCATTAGTAAATCCCATGTAACTTAAGAAAGAAGCTTTAATTAAAGGACAATGACCCTTAAATCCTCACAAAGTAAATTATATGCTAAATTTGTTTAAATATTTAAACTATCTGTCAATTGCCATAACATTTTTCAAAGCCAATTCAATTGCTGAGATTACCTCCCTATTTTGAAGTTTCCTTTAGCAGAGCCATTTTACTTTACCATTCTTTAGCGTATTATTTAAGTCTTTAATAAACTTTTTTGACAGAACTGTAGAGCTGAACAAGACAACTACAGTCTACATTTAATTCAGCACTAACTACAGTGATTCCCACCAAAAGTCAGCAAATAGCAATAGTTATAGTACTTAGATAAGGAAAATAAACTTTGTAATGGGGACCACTGCATCATACTTACAGCCATGTGATGAGGATGCACAAAATTTTACTACCAAATTAAAATCATCTTGACCTGACAATAAATCATCAGGTATATGATTCCAATTTTGCAGTATTTTATGTATCTCAGATTTTTTTTCAGCTAATCACAGACGTACTGTAGCAGTTCTCTTAATAAAGTTACGTCAACAAAAGCTTATCTAAAGAGCTTCTCCAGCTCAAGTCAGAAAGTATCAAATCATTGAAAAAATAAATTGATACATGTGGTATGTGAGAAAGTATTCATACTTTTAAAGAATGCATCTCTTTAAATATATGAAATTTAATAAATTACATTCAAACTAAAGTTAACGTAAGTTGAATCACTGCACTATGTCCATCAAATGACCAAGTACTTGCTCCCAGAAATACCTTAGTTCACTCAAGAACACACACATGCTTACACTCGCACACGCGCACACTAAATACTCTAGGCTGGTCTTCACCATCAATATCTCTCTCTCTTTAAGGCTGGACATGAACTGTGTTTATTCCCAAAAATCATTAGTAAAGCAATCCTTATCGAAGAAAAATGTGCTTCCTTCAAAAGGCGTGGTAAGGGAAGTTTTCTTAAGTCTTGTTCCCAACAGCTCAGTGACTAACAGCAAGTCAAATGGTATACTAGTTTTTTAAAAAAAAATAAAAATAAAAATCGTACTGAAAGGCACTGAGCACACTGCATCTGTTTTCCAAGTATATGCAAGGTTATTTGGCTTGGGTGTCCAAATCAGAAATCTGTTTTTTCCTTTTAAATCTGGCAATCAGATTCTAAAGTAAGAGTCCACAATGCTAGCCATTATAAATAATTTGGTACCAAGAAGCCTACTTTAGGCCACCATTATAGTATTCAGAATCCCAACATACTAATTTAAAACTTGCATGAAATTGTAAGCAAAAATATTGCTCACAGTATGATGAATCACAATTTTATTCCCTCTTTATAGACAGATACATTTTATACAGTTTAAAGCAAATGACCCTACTGCTGTTCTCACGCAGAGCTGTGCTGTATTAAGAGGTAAAAAGGAAGAGAATTAATCTGTTTTCCCTCAGTATATGAATGTTGCCAGCTTCTAAAGGGAGGACGGTGTATGGATTCAACAACAGTTCTCATGGAGAAGCTCTGGTTAGGCCTGGGTACAGCACGACGGCTGTTACAGCAACCAAAGCTGCCATCACAGGCATCCAAGGCCATTGTCTCTGTGTGGAGAGAAAAAAAAAATCAATATCATATTTGTTCTAATTCATACTAATCAGTTTACCCCATGGTTCCTGAAAGTCCTGAGTACCTGTTGATAGGTATCACTAAAATGTTACCCACGAGCCCTACCGCAGGCTAGTCCTGACTTAGAGCACCACAGTAAACCGTGTTTCTCTAGCAAAGGGAGCTCCACGACTCTTCATGACTGAGGATCATCAGGAGAACTTTCGTTCCGTATTTCCAGCTTCATTACTGTACGCACCTCAAAAATCTGCTATTAAACATGCGAGGGCTTAAGATGTTTAAAACATCACTTGTGCCAAGTAATCGCTAGACACAGGTTTATGCAGTACTGACATCTTTAACTTAGCTTTTGAATGTTTAAATCCAGATCTATGAAGTTAGTTTGTAGCAGATCCTAACAACATCATTTCAAACGGATTGTCACAACATTTCATGACAACAATAGCATTTTAAGAGGAGGACACACTGAGAGACATTAGAGAAAATGCAAGCTGAGAGTTCAGAATACAAACCAACCACCTATTTCTCATCTTGTCTTTTTTTCCATCTTCTTCATAGCAATAGCGAGAAAAATTAAAGTGTTTAGAGCCAGAGAGGAATTTCTTAGTCCATAAATAGGAACCAAAGCTTGTTGATTTTTTTATTAGAGGCAAACTCTTCATTTTTCATAGTTAATTAAGCAATTAAGTTTTCTTACAGGCCCTAGCATCGCAGCATTGTGCAAAAGGTAGCCCATTTGCTAAAGACAAACTGAGACCAAGTTAGAAGAGGCACATTCAGAACCAGTTAGAATGAAATTCATCGTGAGAATTAAAGAAATCACACAGATGTTAAATGATTAGTTGATTGCTCAGCTCATCAGTATCAACAGAATGGCATATTAAATGAAGGGTTTGCTTCAGGTAAAAAAAAAATACCTGTGAGCATTTCACCATGCACTATTTTATACAGAAATGGCACAAACAAGTGAGAGGGACAAACATACATTGACTGAACAGTAGTGCTTGTACCTTTCGCTACCACAATGGGCCGTAACACCAATACAGGAAAGCCAGGATTAGGCCGATGAATACGGCTGGGACGGGTTGTAATATGGAAGGCTAAAGAAGGGAAGGGATATTAAAAATCACTTTGTGCTATAAATCAATCAGGTAAAGATGATTTAGAGAGGGGAAAATAAGTCAGTGAGTTTTGTTTTAATTGAAATGTATTAAAGACATCTAACACAATACAGCAATATCTAATCTGGTATACAAAGTTAGTACACCATTCTACTCAAATGAACAGGGATGTCTAAAAATAAAGGGAAGTAAGCAGAAAATGTTCTAAGAAACCTCTTGTCACAACTTGGAATTTAGCACTTAGAAGCAACATAAATCTTAAACTGATTTGCCTGTTATCTTATTCATAGTTGGTTTTAGTTTTTCTAAGTGACTGGAAATCCCATCTGGATTTCTTAAGGCAGGAAGACTCACATCAGATACTTAGTTTTTCAGCTACTTCATTCCTTGCAAATTAGCCTTTCCCATTCTCCATCACCAGCCTCCAGGAAAAACAATCTCTTTCCTCCATTAGTGAATCAATTACAACTATGTTCACAGGCAAACCCAGTAGTTCAAACACTTTTGTGCGATTGTAACGTGACTGTACAATCAACACTAAGTTACTATAAAGCAGGGCAGTACGTTTCTATTAGAGATACCACAAAGATCAGCATCTCTGACAGGTCATCAGCCTTGTGACCAAATGCAATTCTGAAAATCGATCAGATGTTGCAGCTGGGCCAAACTACCAGCTGGGCAAGACTGCAGGGTTTGTTTAGCTTATGGCCTCATTAGAACCATCTACACCTTTTCTCAGCTACATTCAATTAAATGTAGACTACTTCACATTCTGGATGGACAGCCTCTATCCTTAATATGATAAATTAAAAGCAAAAAAGAACCTAATTTCTTTTTAAGCTGTCCTTGGAAGACATCTGCTTTCTCTGTATCCTAGTCTATGTATTCGTGCACACACACAGACACACAGAGGTTAAGTTCAAACCATGCTAAATATTTTCCTAAGAATTTTTTTGTGCTGAAGCCACCTTGATTTTGTTCAGTCAAATAAATAAATAATAAATTCATGTTTGAAGACTTTCTAAAACATTGTGATTCATACATAAAATCTCATCCTGTTATAAATTTGTAGAAGTCACTTAATCATAGAACCTCCGATATGGTTCAAAACAGGAATCTTAGAAGGTATTTTAGACTCTGCCATTCAATTCAAATTTGTTTTAATCAAGGCAAATATTTAATAGACAAATTATGTGTAACTATTGAAGTAATTTTCATGCAGGATTATTTTTGTGTCATTGGTGCCACAAATCAGAGTGCCACCTTCCCACAGAAAGCATGTTGGTAGAAATAATCACAGCAGTGTTTGAAAAAGCGCCAGAAGTTTAAGTCAACCAGAGCAGCTAATGTTCTCAAACCATTCACATAAACAAATCTGTCATATAAAGCATATCAGGAAATAAGTGACTACAAGCATGCAAGCACAAGTAGTACACCACACTCCTAAGCATTTCAGAACACAATACTTTTTCTTTTTCTTTCAAAGTAAAACTTAAGTATAAAAACCTAATATTTAAATGATATCCCAAATGGAGTACAGAAGCTTTGTCTTTTCTAACATTTGTTAGTTCACTGAACAATTTTATGGATTTTTTTCATTTTTATTTTTAAGTTATATGCATTCATGGCTGTGGCATCTTGGCAAATGGAACAGATGATAAATATCCACCACATTAAATGAAATTGCCTCCAAACAATTACATTTTCCTGCTCACAAACTTATCAAACTATAACAAATCTCCTTATTGTCGAGGAGCATTTAACTAGGTGCCTTCATCAAAACCATGCATCTTGTATTAGAATATGAAGATATGCAAACTGAGATACAGATGGGCTGAAGAAAGGAACAAATCCCACAGCAGGAGGTCACTTTCTGTGGGACACTGTCCTTGGAAATGAAGTAGCAGATAATGATTCCAGCATAAGGGGACAATGATACTTGAAAAATTTTACCCTTGGAACTCGCCCAGTATCCATGATGCTTCAAATAATCCACCAGATAGATATGTTTTACATTACTGATTGTGAGTAATGCTTGCTTGAACTGCAAGCCTGTCCTGCAAGTCCTTATATGGCTGGATGCTCTTCATCATACCCTGACCTCCAGGTTTCCACTGTCATAACTAACTCCTCCTCTGGAAGTAGATTTTGGCAACTGCTGTGGTTCCTGATTTCATTTAAGTACTCACCTCAAATTCTTCCTAAAATTTCCCTTACCTTGCAAGCTTTTCCACTTTCATCAGGTGCTCCAATTCCCTTCATAGTATTTCTTCCCTCTACTATCCCCCTTTTTCCACTGATCATTTTAATCCTGAGGTTAATGTTTTTAACAGAGCAGAAAATCTCACATTCCCAATTATTTATTCAGTGTGATCTCTTCTACTAGAATGGGAGCTTTTGGTTGGTTGTTTTTGACTTCTGCCTACTTTAGTGACTCAGTATTATCTGAGCATTGCAGAAGAATTCTCAACAGGGAGCAGGTTCCAAGAGAATTGTAACATCGTATTCCTGAAAATATGGCTGAAAAAAGCGAGAAGGGCTTTGAATTCTTTACATCTTTGACAGCTCTACTATGTTAGAGGTTTACATTCAGTAGCTGGCTATGGCCAAGAGTATTCACACAAACTTCGGTCATCTAGCAGCCAGCTGACTTCAGAGGTACCCGTAAAACTTTCTTCATAATCAGAGAAACAGTTTTCTAAAAGGCTATTACAGAACATCCATTATCCTCCTGTTTCATACTGTCCACAACAGGAGTTGTTCACCCTGCATTGATCAGAGAGGCAGCACAGGAAGACAATAAACCAGCCACCCCAGGGTAGTAAGGTACCTAAAATAAGGCTATGACCACCTTATAACGTGTCTGCCACACCCTTAACATTTGGAGGATTTCAGAAGGCTCAGTATTAAAAAAAGTTGTCCCCAGCTGTAAACTCAATTCTAATGATACAACCTCTCCAATTAATTGCAACAGAAAAGAATATTTTCATTAGTGAATAGAAAGGACAGTTCAACTGCGCTGTTTAAAGTATGAGCCGATCAGGGATAACCACTGTTAAGAAGCATGAGCAAGAGTAAGGAGGGAACATCTATCGTAATAAACATTAATAAAAGAAAAGTATCTTGAAAAAGGTTGCTTAATTCATTTGGATACAGGTTTCTCAGCTTTTACCCATGTATTGTTCTCAAAATTAAAACGTTTTGCTTAGTTCTGGTTCACTACTATTTAAGCCAGATGTTTTCAAGAGAGCAGATACCTAAGGCCATATTTAAACTGTCACACAACTTGCATGCGTAATTGTAACAGTGTAATGACCCGCAAATTTGCACGGATAGTACCAGAATGGAATTTTGCATATAATATGGTACACAGGTTTTTTGTTGGTTTTTTGGTTCTTTTTTTTTTTTTCTTAAAAAAAGTCTGTCCTTTTCTATTTGACACTTACACACTCCCTCAAATCAACAGAATTGCCAGTGTCATAACCCTACTTCCCCACATATTTTGTACAGACTTACGTTGTTTCCTTTTTCTTGTAGCAGCTTCAGGTTTTCTTTACATTGCTTGAGCTCTTCTGCAAGTGACTGATTTTCTTGTTCGGCCATCTCATACTTTGCCTTCAGCTCTGAGAGCACAGTCTGTGTTTTTTCATACTACAGACAAAGAGAAAACAGTCTGTGGACCCCTGGACACCCAACACATGCTTACATTTGCTTAGTGCACAGCTTCCTTTCCTGTCATCTGCCTAGACTAACTTGCCTTGAATCAATACACTGTCTTTTTATAAAAGCAGGGTAGAAAAATCTTAGTTTAGATTTCCTTTTCTTCTAAATGAAGATTTTGTTGCTGACTTTGAAGAGCTACAATTACTAAAAAAAGGAAATATGAAGTAAATGCAAAGCCTTAATTCATCTCTCCTACCAAACAACTACTCATAATCATATTGGAAAGGACTGTAAAAGCTATGAAGACAGAACAAGAAACGGGAACAAGGAGTCCTTTACATTTAAATAGTGCTCTTACATCTAGGCTGTAGTTTAAATACCTACACCAATCAAATAGGTGCAAAAAATCAACATTCTGTATGAAGTAAAACACACACTCTTCCCACACAGCGAACTCAAACATAAGAGTAAGAAAGGCATTAAAAAAATATTATGCCTTATTACAAACATGCCATAATCCTCAGTGTGGGTCAACTACAAACAATACTGGGTGAATGTGTCTCATGTTCCTACAGTATGGGCAGCTTCACCTTTTTCAAACTCACATTCAATTTTTTCTATCGATTACAGCTTCCTAGCAGTCCTCATGACAGGGATTAGTAAGGACAGAGCCAATGACTTTGAGTACTGGCATTTACCACAAATTTAAAAGATTAGGCATCTTTACAAATACACCTGATTACAAAAACACAGACTAACCAGACTGGGGTTTTCAAATTCTGAAAATGGTAAGGAATGTGACATGGATGAATTAATGACAAAGCAAAGCAAAGGACTGCAAAAGAAACTAAAGCTAGTGACTGGGGAAAACTTCACTCAAAATGCTCATAAGAGAAAGCGAGTAATTGTTGGAGACTATGGCCTTCTTCCAGACATAATCTTTAGAGGCTAGGCAGATGAAATATGTGCTCAAAATGCTAGCTTTTCCTTATGCATAGCAGCCTAGTGATCCAGGAAGATGAAAGGAGACCTTTGCAAAGAATGTGTAGTGCCATTGTCAAATAAAAGAGTTCAAATCTAACTAGGAAGATCATACAGACTAACAAGAATTAATTTTGATTCATAACAGCTAATGAAACTCTACACCATGATGTTCAGGAAGACTCTGAATAAAAGTTTACCTGTCTGAACAGCCTAAAAGTAAACTCACTACGGTAATGCATGAAAGTAAACTTTAGGGAGTTCCCAAAACACAGGGAAGTCATTTTATCTGAAATCTTCCTTTTTAGAGTTAACCCCCAGTTTATATATAGTTAGCTACCATAAAAGTACTTGCAATAAAAATATGAAAAATTTTCATTACTAGATACCTTATATTTTTCCTTTTCTTTTTAGCTTAAAAGTCAAAGTCATTGGGCATTATATTCTCCCTAATCAGAAATAATGTTTCATGTTACCTCTTTCTGAGCATCTTTTGCTTGACTCTCAGCTTCACTGAGTTGGCTTTTTAGACTAGCTGCATCCCGTTGATGTTTTTCTCTCAAAGATCCCATCTGATTTTCAAGTTCCTTTCGAGACATTTCAAGAACACTTATATCGGTGGTTAGCGCTAAACTCTGTTTCTGAGAGCTGAAAAACAAAATCCAATTGATTCTTCATGTGTTTTACATTTAAACAAACAAGAGATTTTTTTAAAGCACTTTTCATCCTCCAAAGCTTCACACATTGTTTTTATTTAATATGGAAATATCAGCTTAGAGCAATCACAGAAGTGCAGATCATCATTGTCTCCCTATACAAAGTACTGACACAAAAGGCTGGCCATGGTCTTGCTTTTAAATATATGTGCACAGCTTAGTGTGTATAATTAATCATAATCTATAATTTAAATAATTTCTCATTCATAATTTTTAGTTTCTTATTTTACTTTTTATTTTTTATTATTCACTAAGTATTTATTATATACTCCAAAGTATTTTGAAACAAATTTGTAACGAGAAGAAATCTGTCCAAGGTTGTTAGAGGTATTTAACTTACTTGCACACACACTTCTTTGCTCACTCCAGTTGCATAAGAGCTAGGACATTCTTTAAGTCTTTAGTACAATTGTATAATAGTCATAGAAAACTCTAAATTAAGCCATTACAAACTTCAGCATAATAACCAAGTAGTGTTAATTTGTGCCTGTGCGAGACAAAGAAAAATACAGGAGAGATCCTGCATATCTCCATAAACCCTGTATTTGCTTGTGTGACCTTCCGTATGAAACAATACAAGTGGAAATCAGGGCATGATGGAATGAAAAAGAAAGATTTGATTCCTGTAAAATAACACATTACTTCTAGAAATATTTTACTGTGGGAAATGGAAATTTTTTCCAATTAGACCTTACAACAGTGAAGAAGCCATAAGAGAGAGAGAGAAAAAAAAAGATATCTAAGCATGATGGTAAAATTCAGATCTACAATAAAACAAAGTTGCTGTCCCATATTTGCTTTGTGAGTTAAATTCCAATATCTGAAACTGAAAAACAACATTAGAATGGCAGATGAACGGATAAGAGAGGGAAGTTACTTCCAGGCAGAAGATTTAGATAGCCTTCAGCAATGTCATGTGCTCAAATAGCAAAAGAAATACAGTAAAATACAAGTACTCCTGCACTCTAAAATCCTTCCCAAAAGATACTACGGTGATAAAGAGATTTGTATTTTTCTGTTAAGCAAAATATGATATAGAATACTGTTTCTCCCCATCATTACTATTTATCATGTGACAGGCTTCCATGAAACACCATACTGAGATCATTTTCAGACCCTGAACGCTGAGAAAATTTTAGGTTAGGAAATCTATGTGGTTTATTATCTTTTAAGTAGAAGGATAACTGTTAAGTCTAAATACTTCCACAATGCACCATCAGACATTTAGTACCACTTTTGGGAAGAAAAAAACCAAAAAAACCCTCTTCAGCTACTATGATACCTTCCTAGACAAATCCATTGTGGCCTTACCTAGAAAGCTCCTTCTCTTGTCTTTGAAGTTCAGATGTAAGCAAAGTATTTTCCTTCCTTAGTGTAACACATTCAGCTTCCAGAGCACTCCACTCTGCCTTCAGCTTTTCAAGTTCACCTGCAACAAGTAAGATTCAATTGAATTGAGTAAAATTATTTCATGACTGCTTCAAGTATCACCAACTAATAAATGGAGGAAAAGCTGATATCAGTTGTAAATCTCAAATATATTTGATTATAATCATGTCACATGAATTCTCCCACAAGCACCTATAAAACATTACTGTATCTTCTACTATTATGAGATCTGCGAGCCACTAAACAAGCTACTGCTTTTTTTTTTTATGTGAGCTTTTTCTAAGACACAAAGGAGTAGAAAACAGTCTGTTTATGGGTCTACTCTAGTATTTTAGAAATGGTGCCGGAAAAGTCTATTTGAAGAAAATAATTCCCCACGCTTGAAAATAGCAAACAACTAGAATCACTGTATACCATGTCTCTGCTACAAGGAACAGAATGTTTAAAGCAATAACTAAAGGGTGAAAATGAGAGCTTTGAAAAAAGTCAGTCCCTGGTAAAGTAGATGTTACACGCGTCTTAGTAATACAATAGCAGAGACTGGATTCTGAACTGGAAAAAGGCCTCTCTGGCAACTTCACAAATATTAACTGATTTGGAATTTAAAGCATATTTTACATATGCCAGTTTCTTTTTGGCATGTAGAAAGTGTCAGCACGAGCTCCAAGACCTGAAGCTATAGGCCTGGAGTAGTGGCTCTCAACCAGTCCTCATGAGATGTGGGTGCATTACAGGTAAAGTGAAACGCAAATGAAAGAGCCTAAAAGAAGCCCTATGCTGGCTCAGCACAACATATTTGTATATCTCTAGATCATGTGTCCATAATAAGCTTTAATTTTAAATTTTAACATTTTAATGTTAAAACCGAGATGGTATCAAGAGTTTTATTAAGCCATAAAATACAGTTATTTGTCTTAAGTGAAGCTTTGGTAGAAAAATTAAAAGGTCAGAAGCTACCCATTTACAGACTTAAATTATACAGCAGTTACGTAATTCCTTCTGGAAATCTGTGGCAGTATCAATCCCTCAAACAGTACAAGTTTTCCATCTTTTCTAAGTGGAATTATACTTAGTCTACTTTTGATATCAAAGGGTACCTAAGCTAATTTAGGCATAATTGGCAATTACTATATAACGAAGTATACAAAACAGCTGTTGTAACACTACAAGCCTTGATACACATATATAAATACACACATAGTAAATGACTGCAGAGACAGACAAATAGTGATTTGAACAATTGACATTCATCAGATTGAGAAGGCTGCTACTGCTAGCACTGGTCTGTGACATCCTTTTAAACAAGTACCTTTTAAGCGAGTAGCCTCTTCCTTCTGCTGATCCTCACACTGCTGACATCTGAGCTGGAAAGTGGCTTGCAGACTGACAATTTCTTTTTCATAATCTGAGGCATCTTTCCGCCACCGTTCAAGTTCCGCTCGCACTGTTTGCAGCTCATCTTGCAATGCAGAAATATCTGTATCTCGTTCTGATGCTGCTTTTTCTGCTACTTGTTGAAGTGACAGAATCTCATTTTGAGCACTGACTAGTTCATTTCGAGTGCTTGAAACTTCATTCTCCTTTTCCTCACGAAGATTCTCAATATCTTCTTGTAACCTTCGCAACTGAGCTGGAAAGCATACATTAATGTTAATATTTTTTAAAACTGTATTTACAGAAAATCTCAAAAACATTACTCCCTTTCTCAACTTGTTGATATTTAATAGGACTAAAGAATCCTAATGCAATCAAAAAAGATATTCATCTTGTCAAATGCTGTACCCTTAAAGAGACATGTATGTGGGGTCATGTATTACAGAGAGTCAAAAAGAAAGAATAATTACGGTTGGACAAAGCTTTCTTAGACAGGGTTGTGTTATGTATGTGATACTAAAGCAACTCCAAAATCTGAAACCAAGATTTAAATCGAACTTCAGTATAAAAAACCCCAAGTATTACAGAACAAAGACACTGCAGGGTTCAGGGACAAGAGGAAAAGCAAGAAAGCTTCTGTGACAAGCCAAACAGTTGCAAAGCTACACTGAAAATGTTTGCATGTTCATCAGTTAACTTGGTGTCTATAAATATTTGAAGCACAGAGTGTAATTTCTACTCCAGTCTCAACATGTAGTAAAGGAAAAAAATTACTTCTTTGCAAAAACCATTTTTCAAAGTGCATGATTAATTTTGAATTGAAAAGGACAGCTGCACTGAATATACTGAACTCTAAGAAGTCCTTTAGCATTTACAGTTTACTGTAAATGCACAGCAGTCACATGCTAGGTTACTTTACATTTCTGCATGAAGCAAATCTTATAAATTATTCCCATTCAAAACTGTTTCATTACTAAACACATCTCTTCTCTGAACACAACTATTTTTCATAAACACACATGCAAATAGAATCCAGTGAAAACAGTTGGGGGCAAAAAAAAAAAGTACAGTACAGAGGAAAGGGAAGCATGAAAGAAAGAACAACAAATTTATAGTTAAAACACTGACTGATGGAAGCAAAGTGTTTAATTTGCTCAGTGTTTGTTTTGTTTTTTAAAGAACACACATCAGAGTTCACATGTATTTCATTGATTTTGAACATGGGGAAAAAGCAATTACTAAATTAGTGAAGAATTGCTCTGAGAAGAAAAGTGCAAAGTTCTTAACATCACTTGAAAACCTAAGATAACATACTGCAGAGGGTCAGAATTACACATTTAAAATTGTATGTTTCAGAAGCCAAGGGCAAAAAAGGGCAGTGGAAAGCACAGGGAAGATAACCAAGGCTGAGTAACCTTCATAGATTTCTTGTATTTGTTTTTGTTCTGTCAATTCATTACAGACGACAACATGGAGAATGTGAGCAAGTTGTACCATAAACTGATACAGCATAAAAACTACTCGAGAAACTTGCACTTTCATGACAACTATACTTGATGTTTTTCAGTAGCTGCGTATACTGTAATATAGGTAGAATTCATATACAGGTACAATCTAGAAACTTTGCTGTTAGTTGATGTACAGTGAAGAAGAAAAAATCAACTTTTTTCCCCTCCTCTAAACAGGCTCCAGCAAGACATTTAGCTCCTTAGATAAACTAAAGAACCTATGAATTACCCAATTCCACACTCTGGAGGAAAAAGACAGTATCGGAAAAAACATGATAGTTGTTATATATTGTAATACATAAGAGCTATTATAGACAACAATAAGTTAAGATTTCACAGCAGTTGTGTACAAGAGGAAACAGTCTTATCTGTTCCATAACAAAGACATTGGCAGCACGATGGATTTTTAAATATATGTGAGCAACCTGAGGCTTACTACCACCTCATTTGTTTGGAAATAGGTTCTACAGGGTTATACTAACAGAATAGCAAACAAAGTAGTAGATGAGAATAACCCAACAGTAATACAACACACTAATAATTGCCTTTCCACGCATCCTCACATTAGAAGCCTTGAACCTACCAAACCAATATGCTAGGAAACCACATTTCTAAACCACCAAAACCACCACCTTGCTAACACAGCAGGTACCCATTAATGAGCAAAGGAGTGATTTTTTTTTCAAACTGTATCTTCCTGATACTATTTTCTTTATCAAGCCAAGTAAATTCTTTCTTCTCATAATGGCAGTATTTAAAATAATTTTTTTTCCTTCTGTCTGCATTGTTGCTGAACAACTCTCCCTTTAAACGTTCAGGCATGAAAACAAGCACGGTATGACTGAAAATACAAACACATACAAGTGTTTATAAAGTTTGGTGGAGTTGAAGAACTTACACAGAAAAATTACTACCAAGAATATTGGAATGGTTTCTGAAGCACTGGATATAATTTGAAAGAGCAATTAGAAAGAAAACTTCCATTACATCTCTTACTTACGTAAGCCATTACCTCATCTAAACTGAACGCTTCACTTTTTTTTTTTTTTTAAAATAAGTAGTGACAAGTTACCTGAATTTCCTTGCTTTACCTATCTGTTCATCTAAAGAACTTCACATGTAGAGACAGGACCTCAGCTGTTTCTGTGGCACCTTCTCTTCTCTATGACAAACATATAAAGCCATGTAGCACTGGTTGGCCTAAAACATTCATTCCATGAAGAGACTTTAAGAAACGTTACTGCATGAAGGTGCCAGTTTTTTTTTTTTTTTCTCCACTACAGTTCGTAAAGGCTGCCAAGAGAGAATCCTGACAACTTTCCCCAAGATGTGCCACACCCTGAAAGCTGGGAAGCAGCAAGCATACTACGAACATCAGATGTTTTGAACTACCATGGAGAGAGAAGGAAACATAAGCAAGACCTCACTTGAGAGGGGTTCAGGAGACAAAAAAGTAGTGACAAGAGGCATCTTGCAGTTCAGTTTGGCTCTGTCAAGCTTCTACTTTGATTCTCTCTTTTTTTGAGGGGGAAAAAAAGACTTTTTTTCTGCACAGAAATAACTATCAAATCCTAATTTCTAACTTTTGCGGCAGTACTTTCTACTTGGAAAATTTTCATTATTAGCAGTACAAGATTCAAAATTAAATTGCTCCTCTTGTTCTGAAGATGAGTATTATGCAAGTTCCTCTTTCTTACAGGCGTAATGGCAGAAAATGTAAATATTCTTTGCTGACACTCATATAAAACAGTGCTATTATATAAACTTCTCAGTGTAACTGGTATATGACAAGTACCACATTCCGTAACAAACTACCACCCATAAAGCAATTTGCTAAAGCTATTTTGATCTCCTAAGAAAGCGAGCATTGTCAGTCCATCTGCTGTCTGGTCATCTGCCTTCCAACTATTTTTAGGTCCAAACCAAATGATATGCTGACAAAGATACCAAGGTATGAAGCTCCTACAAGTTTCATAACAATCAAAGGCTGAGTAGATGTTCAAACTAATGCTTACTCTAAGGAAGAGTTGTAATATAAACCTTACTGATTTTAAGGCTAGACAGTCTCTTCACCAATACGCTCACTCACACGCACAGGCTGACAAGTTAACGTGATACAGAATACATGACACAGAAGTTACATAAATTACAGGATTCCATTCTGCTATAATTATTTTGGGCTGAAAAGAGCATGATTGGTCATACTGTTTTTTCAAAAAGCATAGACAGTGTCTCTGTTGCAGAAATTTTACTGCATGCTCTGAGCTTAGATGCAGTTCTGGAGTGATTAAAAATGTATGTAAGAGGATTCTACTAATGAAGTGCAGAGACTGAGTAGCACAAAAAAGACTAAACCTTCTGAGTGCTCTGAAGATAAAGTAAGAACCCCTGAATCATTCAAAGCTGAGAAAGACTGAAGAGAGAGGAAGAAGAGGCATCTGTTACAGATTATGTCTCCTGCATTTTCTAAGCTATGATGAGAACCATAGGAATCGACAACAAACATTTCACAATAAAATTCAAAGATACAGTGAAAGAAATCAGATTTAAAATATACACTCAACATTTTCCTTTATCAGTGCTTATGATGCCATGGAAACAGCCAAAGCTATGTATTTTCCCTAAAAGAGTGGGGTGAAAAAAAATTCCTACCTTGCAGAACATTGATTTGCTTGTTAGATTCTTCAACTTGCACTCGATATGCTTTTCTCTCTTCTTCCAATAGTGCTATAAATGAAAGTGAGAATGTGCCCAAAAGTTGTTGTTAGTATGAAGTATTTCAGCTCTAATTAATTTTAGTCACAACTTCCCCTTAACTGAAAAGATTAAAACAACCATTATTTCAGTAAGTTATCAAAGCTAGTAACTGTGTAAGTAGTTTAATAAAAAGTTAATACTAAGACATCATTCCATTATTGTGGTAGTATTACAATTAATTTGAAATTAATATAATCTGTTGCCTGATCCAAAAATTCCATGTGTGCTAAATGCAAACTGGTGTGGGAGGAAAAAAAAAAAGCAGCTGTAAGTATATCCCATAAAGAACACCGAAAAATATGCAATTAAACTGGACTATACTATTACCTCTCAAAACCAAACCACAGTTTGCTGAGAATAATGATACAGCTACATATCTGATAGGATGATCTAAACAAACAACTACCACCAAATACATCATGTGCATTATCTGACTGAAAAACAGATGAATCAATACCTGAAGATGAATATATTTTATAAGGATGAAATATATGGAGTTCAAGTATGTATTCAATACTATGAAAAGATGTTGGTCTATCTTGAACCACAAAGTCAGAGCTCAATCTGACTGTATATAGAGTTTAGAAAAAAAGCAAAAGTTTCTGACATTCTGTGCAGGAGACATGAATTCTATGAAAAAAATTTATCGAACAGACAGCAAAACTGGACCCCCTTTTAAGACTACCTGATAAATATAATTTTCATGGATACCCTACACAACCAAGTTGATCTGGGTCTCACCTTGAAGTTCAAAGCATTTTTGTTTACTTGTCCTAGCTAGCTCTTGGGCTTCAATCAGCTCCTTGTGCAGCTGCTGAATTTCTTGCTTAGCCTCAGTCTCTGATTGTGCACCCTGCAATTCATCTGATAAAAGAACATTTTCTTTAAATCACAGATTTGTACAACAGTTTAATTTGCACTGCCATGTGATGACTAGCAACTTTTTATTCAAATCATCCGAAGTTAGTTAAAGTAAACTCAAAACTCGATTAGGTAAATATTAGCAAAAATATTAATATACTTTTAAAAGGAGGAAAACATATGCAAACTTTAAACCAGCCATTATATATAACATGCAGTATAAACCAAAACCAAACAAGAATTACAGTTTTGAGAACACTGTATAGATTGGCAAGGATTCCTGGATTGTCAAAAATGAACAACAAGCGTAAGAGAATCCTTGACCTTCTTTACAACTTGCCTGTTTTTTTAAAAGGAAGCTACTCTAACCTTCTCTCCTAGCACACACTTACCAGCAATGGCCCTGCAACCCCCACCTCCCAAGCCCACCCTCCCACAGTCCGGCTCCTAACAGCACGTACCAGCCCTGGCAGGCAGCGTAGCAGCACGCACACAGAGCCAGCCTTGTACTGAGCCTTGTTAACGCCAGTCAGCCCAAGAGATCATGCAAAGGGTTGCTGTTAAGTGGTTTGCTACTGCCAATCGCCTTGCTACCATGCAAGGCTTGGCTTCCCCCTCTCCCTCTAGGGGCCATAGCTACAAGGAAAGGAAAAACTTCGGGAAATTTTCTAAAACAAAATTAGGAAAATGAAGAGAAGTCCACCCTCCTTATTTCATTCGGTGGCCTAGTGAATACTAATCTAAATTTTGTCCTTTAGAATTTTTTCACTATGTCTTAAAATATAAGGTATATCTTTAACATGATCAGATATCTACGCATGTTATTTAAACTCTAAATAAAAATATTTGCTCTTCCCCACAAGTTTTCTATTAGCTGAAATGCATATTAAATACCTCTTGGGCTTATAAGAGATGACTTGCAGTCACAGACAAATCAAATACTTTTAAAGCTGATGTTTTGGGGGAGTTCAAAAGAGGAAAAATAATATTTGTAACTAATAGCAGTGTCCTCTAATGTGCACACGCTAGAAACTAGATGCAGTAAAAAAGAGGAAGACAACATTCTAGCCTACAGGTATCTGCAATGCCAGGAACTGGATCCAGAAAACTCTCATTCACTAATTTTTCCTTAAGTTGTGTCTGTGCAGAAACAGGTCTTTCAATAGGCACAAGCAGCACTAATAAACTATAAAGGTAGAGGGCTAAAACTTCATATAAAGCCAGTTGGGTGAGAAAGGTAAAAGATGGAAATCAGTGAAAAAAGTCCAGATGTACATCATGGGAGAGGGAGAACAAAAACGTAGGTGTGTTACACAGCTAACTGGTTAATAAATGTCTACCGCTCTAGACCATATGGATTTAAGATAAAGGCGCACTGCTTACAATAAAACCCCCAAAAGATAAATTGCTTTGGTTGTCTGGACCTTTCACTTACAAGAAAAAAATAAATACAAGCTATAGTTTAGTTTGTCATTATACTTTTGACATTCATATTTGACTATATATGTCACCAATAAAGTAACTATAAAATTTTTTTTGCTTTCTTCATTAAAATAATTGTTTATTAAATCATGCTAAAGTATTCATACTGTATGCCTCTAAGAAAACAGGCTATGTTTTTCCTATTCTCACAGTAATGGATTGGTGGGATCGAGTGGAGCTGAGGGCACACATGTGCTTTTAAACTTTTTCGGAACAAAATTATGAGAGCAGAAAGAACAAAGAGGACTACATATTTCATCCAAATACTTTCTTTTATAGCTTGTTAGAGTTCCAAATTCAAGTTTCTCTTTACTGAACATGCTTTGTTCTTCGCTTCTCATGGATAAAGACTTGGGGCAATTAAGACTTTCAACCCTCCTTAATGAGACTGTTCAGAAGAAATGGATGAGGAAGTTGACAAATTATGCTCAAATCACGCCTGATAAAGAAGCAGTGTCCCAAATCCAACCATAGACACCCTATATGAACTTTTCCAATCAGTGAAAATACCAGACAGTATTTTCCAATCAATGAAAGCACACATCATAAAAGATAATACTGCTTTCAAAGAAGATGAGGAACTCAACTCATGGGACAACATAATCAGTTTCGCCAAGGCACAATCAAGGTAAAAACTCTTTCCTACTCAAATGCAATAGGGGAATTTCCATATGCCTGACATGCTTCTAAATCAAAAGCCAAGAAATATAAGCACGAGAAAGTAACAGCTTTTCAGTCTTCCTCAAACTGAAAGTTTCTTTAATGCTTAGTTCAGAGCAAACATAATTTTTGTGCTAACTCTAGTTTTGAAAAAAATTCAAAACCCTACTTAGTGAGTAGGATTGCTCTATTTAGAAATAATAAAACTACTGAATATCATCAGGCTTGGAACTTGTTCCCCTCAAGAAGCAAAAAGTCACATCTCAAAAACCTGATTTGAGAACCAATACAGAAGGCTGCAATTAAATAAAGTATTTGAGTAGAATTATTCAGCATTGGACTAACTGTTCCCAGAGAAGTCTAAGGAATTCTATCATTAACTACAACAAGGTGCAAAAAAAAAAAAAAGTCAAATACGACACTTTGAAAACCCTCATTCATTTATTCTAGCTCATGGAAAATTTTAATCTGTGATCAGATTGTTTGCCATATTGCAACAAAGGTTCTTAATCAACACCTCTTTGTTTCACACACACACACACACACACTGAGGTTTTCCTTAATATCAGCTCTACTGGTAGACTTAAAATTGTTCAAAAAAATTACTGTTATCCATGCAGATCATTCCCAAAGCACATGAAAATTTCTTCTCCTTCAAGCTGGCCCAAGAAAAGGAGTCTAACCCACAGGTCAGTTTGGGGGGAAAATGACCGTTTCCAAATCATTAAAGAATATGATGGTGTGTGAGGGAATATTTTGCAATTTAGGGATCTATAAAATACAATTTCAATAAAACCAAAAGAAAAACAAAGCTCAGATTAAATTAATATTTATAAACAGAAAGATATTAACAGAGCTCTGCTTGTATGTTTGCCTTTACACTTCTGGTTTGGTAACAGAGATGATACAGAACCACACATAGGCTGTGGTCTTAATTGATCCCTTATCTGTATGTGCCTGGCCCGTGGAAGCAACTTTATGAGCAGGCTGGTATTCCTCCAAGTCTCACAGTACTTCACTTTCAGAATTTTGCAGAATTTCTCAGGTTATTCAGATGCCTATTTTCAGAGTACTCAGGCAACATCAGATAAAGCAATTAAACCCCTGAGTTTTCTTCAGCTTCATAAGATCCACATAAGCTGTATCACCTATTAAAGAATTTGCCTATTGCAAGATAAAACAATGGTTCCCAGACTTTCTGAATCAGACATTGCTGATTTTCAAAATTTCTGACGTAAACTACCACTATTCAGCAAACCCCCAACTGAAAACACTTTTTATTAAGATTCCATGGATCAGTCTTGTAGTCACTATGAAAATATAAGGAAGTTGATAAGAACAAGATAACTAACCTTCCAATGACATTTATTGTTTCTTTCCATCTGTTTAACATTTACCTGGTTTTAACTTTGCAATAGGTAGTCACAAACAGCCTGTCTAGAAAAGTCCAGGGAACTGTTATTAACGGCTAATAAAGTCATTTACCTCATGGGGGGGGGGGGGGAAGGCAGTTCTAATCTGTGACAGCTTTTCCCCTTCCCCTCTTTGCCAGATTCTGACTTGTAGAAAGTTGAAACAAATCCCGAATGCACTCAGAATTTATTGATGGAAAATACACTCGGAGGAAACTACAGCAGTTAAAAGTCTCATCATCTTCTTGTTCCATTAATTTGTTTTGTAAATTCCAACAGTTAAACAAAAAGGAACACTGCCTCTTCCAGCAGCCGTTTCCGCATTCCAAACAGCTGCCAGATCAGAAATGTTCTCACTCTTCCTTAATTATATGGCTGCGTAACAAATCCACTTGAAAGTCTTTCTGTGGCAAATAAGATCCTTTTTAGGGCAAAGTCAGACATATGAAGCAGATCTCTGACAAAACCTCAAACAAAACTGCTGGTTTACAGGCTCTTCATAAAAATTACAAGAGCAAATGATTCACTGTACAGATATTTTTTAATGGTTTCATGAGAGCAAAATAGGAATGCCCATAAATAGCCTCAAGAGAAAAAGTTATTGCAATTATTTTAGTTGATTACAATATATAATTCAACAGCAAAGCGGTCTATGCAAATAGGTACTTTTCTACTTACTGACTTAAAAATTCAGTAATAGTTACGGTTTTAATCTTCAACTGGGTAAGGACAGATGAAGCAATGAGAACATCCACATTAGCAAAAGACTGCTTCCATGTTACTACAGAAAACTTGATTTTAGTCCTTTAAGAATTCAATTGACCCTCCCTGCTAGTTTAATATACCCTGGACACAGAAAGTATAACTACACCTGACCCTTGCCATGACATGAGACTGTTCTAATCCAAGAAGCAGCATGCTCACAGCAGCCTTATCTTGGTCTTGGGCTGTTCAACAAACCTTTCTGACAGAACTTAGGAAGACTTGCATATAAGGAGAATTCAAGAATCAGTGGTTTTCAGCCTGAGGGGTCCATGGACTACTTCTAATGTGTCTGCAGAAGATACCTAAGAAATCCTGCTAATTATGAGCAGTCTTCACTTGGATACATGGCAGCATTCACTCTCACTGATTTTTTTTTTTTTTTTTTTTTTTTTTTAAAAATCCAGAAAGGTAGGAAAAAAAAAAAAATCACTAAATCAGCGGACCTACCATGACTGCTTGTTTTTTTAAAAAGTGTATAGGTGTTTAAAATATTTAGCTAACTACTTTGATTAATTAATATATCATACCAGAAACGTTATATGCATAGAGGTCAAGTCTGCGGCATGAGACATTTTTCCCCATATGACAATATACGTATTTGAAGCTGTTGCCTATTGTGAGACTCATTACAAAGTTCACTTTATGCGGCTGAAAAATTAGCCAATACAGAAGTGTATCTTAAAACTATAAAAGTAGAATTAAAATAATTTTCACGTGAGCTGGCTGAATTCAGTTTCTCTACTGTTTACATACAAAGGGTTGTTCCAGCTGCGAACTCTGTGAGCTGACACTGCTCACAGGAAGCAAACTCCTTAATGTGTATCCTGTTCTGGACTCGCAGTTCTGATACTTAATGAACATCCTACTTTTCAACCGTTAGGTTGGGTTTGTTTTTTTTTTTTCAAATAAAACTTGCTGCCAACCCCAAATTGATTATCAAAAATAAGACTATCATAATCACTACGGACACATTACCAGATTCTACCTTCTAACATAGGAAGTCACGGAATGTACTTGCTATTAATTGCAGACATTAGAGCAAAACCCAAATGGAACATGCTTAGTATACATTCCTTTTTAAACGGCTTTGCTGAACTGATATCCACTGGAAATATCAAACTCAATTTTAGTTTTGCTGTTTGGAAACATATATAATACATGCAATTTTTGGAAGTCCTGCTGTCATAAAATTAGACAAGTGTAAACAATTACAGAAAAAAAACTCTTCTACAGGTCTCCTAAATTTCACTATGGTTTCCTGTCTTTCTGAACCATGAAGAACTGTGACATTCTTTTTACTTGTGATCCCAACATAAGCATCATTTTACAGATCTTATCAAATGTCTAATTGTACATAAAGCATAAAATTAGCTTTTAGGATGCTAAATGTAACTACTAATTAATATCTCACAAAATTTTTCATCTCATGAATATGTAAATATTAGCTTGCTAATCAAGCTTTAAGTACATTCTTTCAGTGCAAAGAGCAGTAAAAAAAAAATTTATAGCTATGAAGCTCAAAGCTAAGGCTCAGCAATCATTCTAGACACAGTTACAACAGCAAATTAAAATCTTGAGTGTGTTAACCAAAAAAAAAAAGATTTTAGATGTTCTTTTTAACCCATCAGGTGCAAACCAACAGAAGCATTTCTGACAGTGATGGAAACTGTACAAGTAAAATTCAGCAATACTTAAAATACATCAGTGGTGGAACAATCCCTCCTCCCCACAGCTATTAGCCTTAAATATATGCTGAATTCTCAATTCTACTTGAAGTTATAACATGTAAATTCTTAGAACAGTGTTGGTGAGTGCAGAAACTAGCTTTAAGCACAAATTATTTCTATACTAACACTCAGAGGTATGCTTTTATATCATATCACCCAAAGGCATCATTAGAGATATTTAAATGCAACTCTTCCGTACTACCATGATTAAAACACCTGATTCAGCACTCTAATGCACATTTGATAAAAACAGGCAGACAAAAAGAGATACATACAGATTATGCATCTAAAGTTACAAAAATAAATTTGTTTACCTTTTAGAAGAGCTACTTTAGCAATAGGTTCATTTAGATCTTGGTCATCCATTTGAGCATCTAAAAAAAAAAAAACCCACACCTTTCAGAGAGCAGGTACACTGCAGACTGTTTCATATATGCATTCTTTAAGTAAAGAGAAGCTTTTATGTTCTTCTCACTTTACAACAGTTAATTATGAAGTCACAAAATAGACAATACTGCTCTAAGTTCGTGTTTGGCTCTGCGTAATACACACGTTCTCCGCTCTTTTAGAAAATGAATTAAATCACTTAATCATGAGCAAACTAATTGGGTGTTACAGAAACCTCAGTTAAACGCTTACCTGTAGTGTCGTCGCTGCTTTTTTCCTTGCTTGGACTAAGAGTGTCCGACAAATCAGATTCTTTGACTCTTGCTTGACTCTCTGTAAGAGACAAGGAAAATCAACTACAATCAGCAAATGCTTTCTTCAGTCTCTTTCTATTGCTTAATGTCGACAGAAAACAACATAGTTGAAGAAACACTTAAAAACCCGGTGGTTGCTTATTTCTGTGTAAGTCTGAGATAAAATGGATTCAGCATCACTAAAGTCACTAATCTAGTCTAGCATCTAACAGGGGATGCAACTGTCTCATGCACAGCTTGAACTTTTGTTAAAGCTGTATTCTTGCCAGTTGGAACTGTGCAAAAGCTGATTCAATCAGGGAACAAATAAGAAAAGAAAACTAGAACAATGCAGATACTGTAACAAGTCAGAAAGAAACTGCTCTTAATAATAAAACCATGCTTCAGTATTTTGGACAAATAAAATAATAGCAACAAGTCTTGTATATACTGCACTGTTAAAAAAAAATGTGGTATGAACCAGTAAAGAATCACAGCAATATAAATTAATACACTAATGTCTAGAAAGAATTTTCAGTTCAAATTGTATTAAGAGAAGGCAGTCTATGTCCTTTCCATCAAAAATACCTTCATGAGATATCTGTTCATACACAACTCACGACATTATTATATGCAGCTTAGTGAATCCACACAGTTCGTTTTGGTTTGCCTTTTTTTTTTTTTCACCAGTTCTATATTTTTAACAGAGACCAGACATTTTCAAAAGGTGAGGAGACTTAATAATACTAGTGCAACCTTCTCCCATACAGAAGCATCCCTGACTCAGAGTCTAAATACTTTATGGGGCTGTATTTCTTTTTTTTTTTTTTTTTTTTTTTTGAGATAACCATTGCGGTGTAATTCTGATGGGTCCATTAAACAAAGGCACACCATCTCTGATGTAGACAAATCTAGTAAGTTTGTCAGCAAGGAACCATGTTACCAATATGCACATGAGGTTATATATAATGAAGCCTGTCTTGGCTGACTATGCAGTGCCTTGGTTTGACAGCATCACTGCCCATCCACAGATTAATAGAGGTTTCCTCTGAGTCTCAAGTTCCAGGTAAAGACAGAAGATATAAAAAGGCATCATTACAACACTCTCAGTATACAGACTTTACTTCTACCATTCATGCAGAAAAGCACAGTGAACACAAATAATTTCTTCACATATAGATACTGCAGATGCGACAAAAAAGTACGAAGACACAGTAAGAAAGATGCACAGCAATAAACAAACTGTGTTATACCAGTACGGTTAGTATATGAAAATATGTAAAAACCAAAGGAGTAATGAGAAAGCTTGCGTGCATTGTGTTTTCAAATAACAAGAGAACAAACAGAACTAAACATCCCCCAAACAAAAGAAGTTAAGTGGAAACTGAAGACAACCTGTACACTTACACTGGGAAATTAGCAAGATGACAAAACACAGACAGGTTACTAGCGGGGAAAAAAAAGTTTTCTTCATCTAACATGAAAAGTTTTCTATTTCTCTGTGCCAGAATAACAGCCACTTGTACATGGAACAGAATAAGGCAAGTACAAAGCAAGTAGCTGATCAAGAGCCAGACTCTTCCTATCTTAATATGACTGAAATCACTGGAGAGGGAGAAGGGGACAGCACCCATACATTTAAAACGCATTAGGGCTTTGGTCCTGGCAGCTATTCCAAACATATCTCATATGACTTCAGCAGACTTCAAAGCTCATAACGACTGGAGTAGTTAAAAACTTGAGGTTTGGAGGTGGTTCTTTGCTAAAACAAAAAGGATACTTCCCTATTTTTAGGAATAAGGTTTTTGACTATTATATAAAGATGTTACAATACAAAGCATTTTACATGTCTCTCATACAATCAAGCTCACAAGATTGCTGTTAAAACTGTAATAATTACTAAACCAAGTAATACGTTCTTTCTAAAGTATTAAGAAAAATATATCCTAAAAGCCTTACCCATGTCATTTATATTAGCGGCCAATCCAGAAGCCCTAAGCTTAGCAGTATCTGCGCCCAACTAACTTTACCATATCTGGTCATACATGGAAACACGGCTTTCTTGCTCTGTGCGAAATGGGAGGAACAGTGCAAGTTCCAACCACTGAATTAATTCTCTCTCCCCCCACCTCCCTCCTACCCACGGGTACACCAGCTTTTTCCTCCCTCCTATCCTCCTCCCCTTGAAACAAGGAACAAGGTTAGGCATCAGAGGAAAGATGCATCAGTTTCTACATCTGAAATGGCAGAAGTCAAAAAAGAGAAATGGTTTCGAAACCTGCTTCCTATTCTCGAACCAGAGTCATAAGCACAAAACTCTTTCCTGTACTGTATTTCACAGCAGTTGTCCCTATTTCCCATAATAAAACTGAGCTGAATAAATATAGCCAAAATGATGAAGTATATTAAAATGTGTTGACATCATACTTACTTGATGAGTTGGAATACATTAACAAACACTAAAAATAGCCTACTGCTTTGCAAGATAACTGGCATGCAAGTGTTACGTTACAGTTACTATATGCATTCTTTTGCCAAATATGGCGTGTTGTCTTATAGCATAGCTATAAGACATAGCTTGTTCACATACAGAAAACAAATTAAAGGTGCAATTTCATACCTTGAGGTACGAGAAGATAAACTGAAAAGTCTCTAAAATACCAGAACATTTAATAAGCTAACATTTATTCAATACAATAACATTTTGCAGAAGCACAGAGGGTAAAGAAATGAGTTAGTATGTCTAGACATTAATAAAAAGCTATAAAAGTAGAGTCAGCCTTCAAGTCCAAACAATCTCACATTATTAGGCACATAGGAAATATTGATCTACACACTTTCTAGCATTCCTGATTTTGGCACTGCAAGATAAGGATGACTGTTCCTTGACAACATAAATCTTTTCTAATTAGAACCTTGTATTTCACTTGTTTTATACAGAAGAGAAAAGAGTTAGAGATGCACATTTATATTTTACTTGGAAAAGGCACGTTTAGGAGGTTAATAGTTATTTTAAAGTTATGAGGGTGTAAGTAGAAAAAAGTCAAATGAAAATACACTTTTATTTAGAAGTTAAAATGAGACCAAACATTATTTCTATTTAGTCCTACAATAAAAACAAAAACCTGTTTGAAGTTTATGCAGGCACTAAAGATTTAAATAACTTTACCAAAAAAAAATTTTTTTTAAATGCACATTCAGGTAAGATCGCAGTCAAAACAGACTAGCGTTTTATGCACTCAATCTTCAAAAATTGTTTCCTTTAAATCTTTTTACACTACAATAGTATTTGGAGCAGAGTTCAGTAAACAATATACCTCCCCTTCATTGATTTTTTTTTTTTCTTGAGTGAGTATTCAACAAAACTGAAACTGCTAGTTTAAGACAGAACATGCACTGAAGTGACATAAAAGACATGCTTCAAAAGAAGTTAAATAATCCAGAAGTCTAACCTTTCAAAAGCTTTGTTTCTTCCACTTTGGTTAGATGTCCTTCATCTATGATCTTGTCTGCCAAACAAAATAAGTGTTACTTTTCAAGCTCAAATTAAGCAAGCTTTTCCCTGCACACATCTACGTAGACTACATTCCATGACCAAATTAAAAGCTGATAATATTACTTCCTACTCAGGCTTGAACAAAAACTTTATTCTGGCATGGAATAATGAAACAGAGCACACAAGCCTACTGGAACTTTGTGGTGAAGTGCATAATTATTTCTTCTACAATTTATTAGCTTACATAATTAATACTTCAGTTCACTAATGAAAAGTTAGGAAAATGAATTTTTATGAACTCTTTGTTTTTAAATCTAACTGGGAGCAGTAAATAATTAATACATATCTCAAGTTATAGTTATCAGAAAAGGAATTGTAAGAGCTGGTTGCCTGAAATAGATATCCACCAGACACAGGAGAAATCTAGAAATATGCCACAGTGAAACAGCAATTGAGAAGCCACCTCAATATCACAACTGCTTTAACAGTGCCTATGAAAGGTACACAGCAATGGCTTTTCTTAGCTTAAAACTTTCAGAGCTGCACAAAATTCCAAAAAGTTGTGCATGCATCACATTCAGGTTCACAAAAACTGAGTTTACATATAGCATTGACAGGGAAGTCTATTCATGTATGACAATAAAAATCTAAAACACAGAATTTGAGGCTAGATTGCTAACTTCATCCTAACTCCAGTTAGGACATGAAGGCAAACAGTAAGACGAAGGGAAGAACAGGTTTGGATTAATCAAAGACACTAAAAGAACTTCTGAACCAGTAATTCATTAATTTCTTTTTTGGACGAGATTTCATTATTTCAAATTCCTTAACAGCCGGCTAGCAATGCCAACATGCAAAATTACCGAGGGTCACGTATCTTACAGATCACATAATCAATTTTATGCAGTAGGTCTTGCAATTTAGACAATGTTGGAAGCTGTTAACACCCACTGAAACACCAGGCTTGAAGCTGCCTCTGCCTCCGCTCTGTGCTCTCCCTGCCGGATCCCTGACCATCAGGCAGGGAACCCAGTTTGCTGGTTACCCCATGTGCTGTTAACAGGGAACCGAGACGCAGGGAAGACCGGACAAACAGTGCGTACAGGAGAGTTCAGATTGAGGAAGCTGGATGGCAGTAAATTATTTTCAGAATTTTAACTAAAAAAAAATAGCAAGCTTTAGTCAGCATTTCCAGCTTCAAGTAGCTCTGAAGACTAAGAAGTCTCTGTACTCCTCCAATGGCATGTTGCTGTAACCATGACAATCGAAGGACAGAGGCAGGACATTTGCACAGAGATACCTTTTTCAACCCTAGATAGTAGACAAGCTTTCCTACAAAAACCCCTGAGATCTGAAGAAGGGTTTGCACGGCCAAAAGCTTGTCCTGTCCCTTTCCCTCCCCCACAGCCAGACAAATCAGTCTAAAAGATATTCCCTCCATCTACTTTTATCTACAACATAACATTTTACAAATACTGTTTCAGAAATACACTGAACAGCACACTGGATTTTCAGGACGGGCTTCAGGTCTCAAGCAACTGTAGGAGATCACTCATCATCCAAGTTCAGAACAGTCTCAAGTTTGTCAGAGCTGGAGAGTCACTGTGCGTAGACTGAGGAAGGCATGGCAGAGAGAAGTTACTGCAGCCATAAGTGAGAGTTATTGACTGATATCACAAGCCCTGTTCCATTTAAAAAAAAAAAAAAAAAAAAAAAATCTAAACAAAAGTCTTCATATGTGATTATTCCAGGACTCAGCTGAGGGTGGAAGAGGGGTGGAGAGGAAGGCAGCAAGAAAGCAGCTGAGGAATTCTGCCCATATGTCTGAAAAAATTAGCTGAATGCAAACGCCATACGCTCAAAGCAGCTATCACCTGCTTCATCTGAAGGGGTAGCACCTCATCTATGCTGGACTGTTAGCTTAAAACAGGCTTCTATAATCAGTTTACAGGGGAAAACTTAGCGTTATGAATTGATGGATCTTGGAGTTTTCACACTTCAGTAACTGTTAAAACCAGAAGAATTCTAGTACAAAAACTAACTAGTCTTCTTGACCCACATTTTTTCCTAACTGAAACCCTGAAAGGAGCTCTTTACACTTTTAAGAATTCTCAATTCCTATGGCTAAAAAAACCTGCAGGCTTAACTTTTTTTTTTTTCCTGCATGGCGGCTTACGGTTTTCTAATGACCATTATGAATGTCAACATTTGTACAGCAGTTTTCTTCTTGACACTATTTCTTCAGCAAAGAACTTCAGCAGTAACACACAAGTCCCCTTGCCCAGTGTGACCCAAAGCTGGTACAGCCAGTTATTTTTCACTTGATGGCTGACATCTCTCCTAACTTACAAAACAAGTAAGCATTCTCTGTGTTTTAAGAATGCTAGCAGAAGTATACTTCAAAGCCAACAAAACATAGTTTATTTCAGCATGCCTGTGTATATTTAGATAATAAACAGAAAATTGGATGTTGATGTCATTGAACTACATAGAAGCTTATTCTGCACTGTGTTACCACCCTAGTCACTAAAAATGGCAAAATCCAGACAACAATCAGAAAGTAAAAGCAGACATACCTGTATCTTTAAAAATTCCCTTTTTCAGATCTCTGCATCTTTTCATATTACTATTTCGGAAAAAGTCAAACTTTAAAAAAAAAAAAATCCACATTTTCCCTGAATCAAGATGTGCATTTCTGGCTAGCAAAATATAACTTAGGGTGAGGATCCTAGCTTTAATTTCTGGCACAAATAATTTTTATCTTTCATGCTATCCAGTCACTACTTAACAGAAAGCACAGAGTTACTGATACATATCATAAATAATAATAGTTTTTACTGAAACAATGTGCTTTGAAGTTAAGCTTTCAGTTCATCTTTAAGATAGTCTATGCTGCTTTTTGCTGATGAGCGCAGTTCAAAGGCAGCATTCCTTTAGGTTTTTAGGCATTTCCTATCTTTTCAATTTAAGAACTCCCTTTTAGATTTAGGTTGCCTATCACTATGTGTAATAGGATAGCTAAGATCTGTTAACATTACAATGATTACTTAAGTAACATGACCCCAATACATTTATGTTTTTGTATCAAATTAGTCTTTGAAGGAGGCCAGTCTTGAAGACCAAAGAAAGGAAACCTAGCCTCAACACACAAATTTAAAACTATCTGAAAAAAGAGATATGAAGCAGCTTTAACTTTACTTGCCACCCTGCGGGTCATAAATTCATGGAAAAGTTGAAAATAACTATTCAATCCATCCAAAAACTACTCTATTTTAGATGAATAAATTAAAAAAAACCCAACCCTTAGTAAAAAGGCAAAAAATTGACTTGCATTTAAAATCATAAATGCAAAAAAACACAAAATGAGGAAAAAAATAAGGACACAAATAAAGAAGCGTTAGACTGGAGCAAAAGATAGGAAGCTAGCAGGGCACCAAATCTCTCTTTCGTCTATACACCATCACCATTTTGGTAATAACTCATATCGTGTACTAATCAAAAAGTACCATGACTTTTGCTGCTGATGTCACTCGTTTTCACCAGTGGTTACTAAAAAAAAAGTTATGAAATGAGCAACAAGTGAACCAGATGTAATGATCAGAACGTAATACACTTCCCAGATCATTCAGAGCAAGATTTCATAACATTCTACAGACGCTGTAGATCAGGACAGGTTACTGGACAATATTGTGAGCCGTATTCTGGTTAAAAATGTAAAAATAAATAAAAAATATCTTAAAAAAACCCACAGAAGCTGGATTTTACAAACAATGCTACCCAAGTTAAGCAGTTGCAGTGCAGCTTTAGTAAGATTTTAGTGTCCTGTTGTTTCTCCCACACCAAAAAAATTTGTCTTTAGTACCCTGAGAAGTCTTCATTGCTCTTAACTGATAAGCACTTTCAATTAACCTTATGCCTCTGTAGCAACTGTATAGAATACTAGATTGCTTAATCAGCTAATTTTCCTTCTCATGCTATCTTACATACTCCACTTCCTTGACTCAAGGTGTTTTTCCTCATTTCTCTGCTTGTGCTTTCCCAAAAATAGGGAGATGCGCGCTTTCCCCACTGTACCAGTACAAGTCAGAACCTTCTCTTCTAGACAAACTGCATGGTTGTCTTGATTCTCCTTTCTTTTTAGATTTCTCTTACGATTTGCAGATCCTATAGTTTTAATTCCTCTGCTTCTATTACAAAACAGCAAACCCTATATAACACAACTTCAATGAGCGACTCCTATTTCTGGGATTTTTATCATATTATTTTTTAAATAATAAACCTGCTCTGTTCCTAATACCTAAACCCCTGGGCAAAAAAACATAGTATCATATGATGAACTATATATTCTTTCTCAATATTGCTAATCTTTATTATATTGTTCTATACTTAAGTATCTGCTGCATGTCTTAGAACTCCAGTTCCTGGTGATCTCTGAAACTGTGATTTTTCTCCCCGCTAGTTCCCAACCCTCACTGCTGCAGAAAGCAAAGAGCAGGAGGAGGACTGAAGGGTAGCACTTACATACCAAATAAAAATAATAGATCCTGCAGTTTGCAGTTCTTTAACCTCATGATTTTGTGGGGCCTGACTAAACATATTTGAATTTGGGAAAGGCAAACTTTCAGTCCAGAAAAAAAATACGAGCTGCTGACTTGGAATCTTTTTTGTTCTTGATTAGATAGTAAAAACTTATACTGTCACGAAAGCTGCAGAACACTGAACCCTCGGAACTCATATTAATTCTTTCAAAAACGAGGCAGTCGAGGCCTTACAGTGTCTTTACGCTAGCTTTCAATCTCTCAAGAAAGGGGAAGCATAAGTAAATTGATCTTTATTTTACTCTGTTATTACTACTTCAATTGCATGTTAGAATCTTTTACTAGATCCTGATGGTCACTTTTGCTTCTCAGTAGTGACAAGACTGGTCACATTTAGTTTGCAGAGGTGATACTAATACAAGTTTTGCTAAAATAGGTTAAGCTAACATCCAAACAATAAAAACAGGCAACCAAT